CCCGAGACTATTCCCATTATCAGGTATGCACGTACAGGAGATCGTAATTGTGATTGCCGTGTCGGAGGTGGTGGTTGTCGGCTGTTGAGTATTAGCTCGGGTTACCTAGGTGTAGGGTAAGCTAGGGTTAACTAGGGTGATGGGCTAAGCTAGGGTTAGCTAGGGTTAGCTAGGGTTACGAGCCAAACTAGGGTTAGCTAGGGTTAACTAGGGTTACGAGGCAAACTCTAGTAGTGCAATGTTGGACAGGATTTTTAGGTTGCCCGGGAACCGTCGCCCCACAATTCTGGGCTCTGTTGCTATGAGTTGAATGGGAAGACTCGAGTCGATTCCCATAATCAGGTATGCACATACAGGGGGTCGTGGTCGTGATTGCAGGGGCGGAGGTGGTGGTTGGGGGCAGTTGAGTAGGGTAACTCACTGTGAGTCTTGGCAACCCGTCCTGGTTCACTCCATCACCGACACTCACAACAATCGACAACTGCACCGTACCGAGCGTGCATTCTCTATCCTACAATCATGATGGCGTTCAAAACTGAATCATGCCGTGTTCCCATCTTGTGGTTCGATGAAATACACGAATTTCGGATTCTGAACCCCGGGTTACCGCATTGGGCGAATACCACTTCGACGCTCGTAACCCTAACCGCCAACAGCCAGGTACAAACCACCACCAAATACAGATTTATGTATTTCATTTCTGCCGAAAATTCTATTTTGCACACCCAACCGAACCAGATGGCAGCGTTCGTAACCCTAACCGCCAACAGGCAGGTTTAAACCACCTCGTAATACAGATTCATGCATTTCATTTTGACTGAAAACCGTATTCTCTAACCCTAACCAAAATCCCACTTCAACGCTCGTAACCCTAACTACCCACATCCAGGTTTCAACCACCACAAAATACACTGTATTTCATTTTGACCGAGCATTGTATTTTGTACATGTAACCAATTCAGATTTGAACGCTCATAACCCTAACTACCCATATTCAGGTTCCAACCACAACAAAATACACATTGTATTTCATTTTGACCGAGCATTGTATTTTGTACATGTAACCAATTCAGATTTGAACGCTCATAACCCTAACTACCCATATTCAGGTTCCAACCACCACCAAATACACGTTCAAGTATTTCATTTTGACCGAACATTGTATTTTGTACATGTAAGCAAACCAACTTTCAACGCTCGTAACCCTAACCACCAACAGCCAGGTTTAAACCACCTCGTAATACAGATTCATGTATTTCATTTTAACCGAAGATTGTACTTTGTACACTTAACCAAACCAACTTTCAACGCTCGTAACCCTAACCGTCAACAGCCAAGTTTACACCACCTCGTAATACAGATTCATGCATTTCATTTTGACCGAAAACCGTATTATCTAACCCTAACCAAAATCCCACTTCAACGCTCGTAACCCTAACTACCCACATCCAGGTTTCAACCACCACAAAATACACTGCATTTCATTTTGACCGAACATTGTATTTTGTACATGTAAGCAAACCAACTTTCAACGCTCGTAACCCTAACCGCCAACAGCCAGGTTTAAACCACCTCGTAATACAGATTCATGTATTTCATTTTGACCGAAGATTGTACTTTGTACACATAACCAAACTAACTTTCAACGCTCGTAACCCTAACCGTCAACAGCCAAGTTTACACCACCTCGTAATACAGATTCATGCATTTCATTTTGACCGAACATTGTATTTTGTACATGTAATCAATTCAGATTTGAACGCTCATAACCCTAACTACCCACATCCAGGTTCCAACCACCACCAAGTACACATTCAAGTGTTTCATTTTGACCGAACATTGTATTTTGTACACGTAAGCAAACCAACTTTCAACGCTCCTAACCCTAACTACCCACATTCAGGTTTCGACCACCACCAAATACACATTGTATTTCATTTTGACCGAACATTGTATTTTGTACATGTAACCAATTCAGATTTGAACGCTCATAACCCTAACTACCCACATCCAGGTTCCAACCACCACCAAATACACATTCGTGTTTCATTTTGACCGAACATTGTATTTTGTACACGTAAGCAAACCAACTTTCAATGCTCCTAACCCTAACTACCCACATCCAGGTTTCGACCACCACCAAATACACATTGTATTTCATTTTGACCGAACATTGTATTTTGTACATGTAACCAATTCAGATTTGAACGCTCATAACCCTAACTACCCACATCCAGGTTCCAACCACCACCAAATACACATTCGTGTTTCATTTTGACCGAACATTGTATTTTGTACACGTAAGCAAACCAACTTTCAACGCTCGTAACCCTAACCGCCAACAGCCAGGTTTAAACCACCTCGTAATACAGATTCATGCATTTCATTTTGACCGAAAACCTTATTCTCTAACCCTAACCAAAATCCCACTTCAACGCTCGTAACCATAACCGCCAACAGCCAGGTTTAAAGCACCTCGTAATACAGATTCATGCATTTCATTTTGACCGAAAACCGTATTCTCTAACCCTAACCAAAATCCCACTTCAACGCTCGTAACCCTAACTACCCACATCCAGGTTTCAACCACCACAAAATACACTGTATTTCATTTTGACCGAGCATTGTATTTTGTACATGTAACCAATTCAGATTTGAACGCTCATAACCCTAACTACCCATATTCAGGTTCCAACCACCACAAAATACAAATAGTATTTCATTTTGACCGAACATTGTATTTTGTACATGTAACCAATTCAGATTTGAACGCTCATAACCCTAACTACCCATATTCAGGTTCCAACCACCACCAAATACACATTCAAGTATTTCATTTTGACCGAGGATTGTATTTTGTGCACGTAACCAAACCAACTTTCAATGCTCGTAACCATAACCACCAACAGCCAGGTTTAAACCACCTCGTAATACAGATTCATGCATTTCATTTTGACCGAAAACCGTATTCTCTAACCCTAACCAAAATCCCACTTCAACGCTCGTAACCCTAACTACCCACATCCAGGTTTCAACCACCACAAAATACACATTGTATTTCATTTTGACCGAGCATTGTATTTTGTACATGTAACCAATTCAGATTTGAACGCTCATAAACCTACCTACCCATATTCAGGTTCCAACCACCACCAAATACACATTCAAGTATTTCATTTTGACCGAAGATTGTATTTTGTGCACGTAACCAAACCAACTTTCAATGCTCCTAACCCTAACCACCAACAGCCAGGTTTAAACCACCTCGTAATACAGATTCATGCATTTCATTTTGACCGAAAACCGTATTATCTAACCCTAACCAAAATCCCACTTCAACGCTCGTAACCCTAACTACCCACATCCAGGTTCCAACCACCACCAAATACACATTCGTTTCATTTTGACCGAACATTGTATTTTGTACACGTGAGCAAACCAACTTTCAACGCTCGTAACCATAACCACCAACAGCCAGGTTTAAACCACCTCGTAATACAGATTCATGCATTTCATTTTGACCGAAAACTGTATTCTCTAACCCTAACCAAAATCCCACTTCAACGCTCGTAACCCTAACTACCCACATCCAGGTTCCAACCACCACCAAATACACATTCAAGTGTTTCATTTTGACCGAGGATTGTATGTTGTACACGTAACCAATTCAGATTTGAACGCTCGTAACCCTAACTACCCATATCCAGGTTTTAACCACCACCAAATACACATTGTATTTCATTTTGACCGAACATTGTATTTTGTACATGTAACCAATTCAGATTTGAACGCTCGTAACCCTAACTACCCATATCCAGGTTTTAACCACCACCAAATACACTGTATTTCATTTTGACCGAACATTGTATTTTGTACATGTAACCAATTCAGATTTGAACGCTCGTAACCCTAACTACCCATATCCAGGTTTTAACCACCACCAAATACACTGTATTTCATTTTGACCGAACATTGTATTTTGTACATGTAACCAATTCAGATTTGAACGCTCGTAACCCTAACTACCCACATCCAGGTTTTAACCACCACCAAATACACATTGATTTGTTACATTTTGACCAAAAATTGAATTTTGTACCAATAGAATAACAACGACCTGAAGAAAAATAGATAGAAAAGTGTCACTTCAGTATTCTGTCCTACATTCTAATTCCGATACGTAACCATGAAGGTTGCAATTACCAGTCTTCGGGTTATATAGGATTATTGTTCTAGACACTACTGAGCAATATTGAATCGCTGGATAGATATGCATATCTACTAGGACAATATGTAAAGCAAACACTAATGGTGAAATTGGTTACTACTGTTTGTGATAGCTTGAGAGGTATAATATCAATCGAAACAGAAACTGCATCACAGTTTGAAATTGAGATTTGTTGGTATGGTTTGCTATGATTCGATTTGTATGCACACTTGTTGTGACAGAATGTAAATCAGGAATACTAAACAAGATTTGTGAGAATTTTTGGCAATCGCTTGATACGTATGCATACAAATCGGAATGGCAAGTAAAGTGCATACCGATAAGAAAAACTTTCTGTATCATGGTTGAATACTAAATAGGAGTCGATACCTGTCAGGAAAATATTCGAATCAGTAATTAGCAGTGAACTTGGCTGATATCATTAATAATTGGTTCATACTTACTAAAGGTACGCCACCTCGCGACCCTGAGGTCCCCTTCTCTCCCACCTATGTGTAGTATCTAGGCACCTCCAGTAATTAGTTAATTTTGTGTTTCCGTCTCATGTTCTGTTTTCCCGGCCATGTCACATAAATGCCTAAATCTTGTTCTGGAGATCAATTTCCGATTTTCAATGCCAGGTCCAGTGCCAGCTCTAATGCCCACTCCGGTGCGAGCTAAAATCAAGGTCAGCCCCAGTGTCAGCTTCGGTCTCGACTCAAATATATTCCAGCTCTAGCCGGAGCCGCCCGAATGCCATCTCTAATGCCCACTCCAGTGCCAGCTCCATTAGATGCCGGCTCCAGTGCCAGCTCAGATACATGCCAGCTCCAGTGCCCGCTTCTCTGCAAGCTCCAGTGCCCGCTTCTCTGCAAGCTCCAGTGCCCGCTTCGCTTCCAGCTCCAGTACCAGCTCTGATGCCGCTCCGGTGGCAGCTCCGGTACCCGCTCCAGTACCCGCTCTGGTGCCAGCTCCGGTGCCAGCTCTAACCCTCACTCCTGTGCCCGCTCTTGTGCCCACCCCTGTTCCCGCTCATGTTCCTGCTCGTCTTCCCGCTCTTGTGTCCGCTCCGGTGACCGCTCGAGTGACTACTCCGGCGTTCGCCTCGATGCCAGCACCTGTGCCAGCTCCAATGCCAGCTCCAGTGCCAGCTCTGATATATTCCAGCTCCCTTCACTATTCCTCCACCACACTGGCACCTCCTCTTCCGCTCTTACTGGTCTTCCCTCTCCCTCTTCGCACTCCCCGCCAACTACTGTTCGTCTCTCTCGCCTATTCTGCTCATATTTGACTACTAAATAGCTATATTTATTATTTAATCATAAAGGGTTCCGTTGGTTGGGCTGGTCTCATAGGTAAGGTCAGGGTTAGGGTTTGGGCTTGGCAGGAAAATGTGCAGGGTAACGGCCCTGAGCAGGCAGGGTAACGCCCAAAAAAGGTAGGGTAACGCACAAAAAATGTAGGGTTACGCACAAAAAAGGTAGGGTAACGGCTCAGAGCAGGCAGGGCAACCGCACTAATCGGGTAGAGTAACCATCTCAAAATAGGCAGGGTAACAGAACAAAATCGGGCAGGGTAACTGCACCAAACACACGAATTTGATGTGTCGTGCTTACAAAACACCCCTGTCGCTGTCAACCAATCAGATTGTAGCAATCTCAGAAGAATTATATTCCAGTACGTATTAGATACATTCTTATCAGAACAGCAAATTTAACAGTTATTGACAAACAAAACCTTTTGTATTATTTACAATCCTTTGATGAGTATGTATCAGAACAGCGAGTGTATCAGAAATTCAAATTCTCATTTGTTACAATCGTTCATGAAGGTTTGAAAGCTATGAATATTTATTGGCACAGTAAAATACTGAAATTGATACTCAATGTATTTGATGGCTTGATTGGTATACCATGTTCTGGATCAATATTGAATAGATTGAATACTGCACTATGGTTTGCAAAATATCTTCTCCCAAAACACGAGGTTGCGGCTTTCCAATCCATTCGGAAATATATACAATGTATGATCATATTCTGAACTTGAGAGTGAACAATATTCAGCACTTATCTCTAAAACTCATTGTTTTAATTGATAACAGTCTTCATAACATGTATCCTGATATTTTGTATTTTGTAAAAGGGTAGGAATTTGACGATGTCTGCAAGATAACATCTGTTCCACCTCACCTACCTATTAACAGTATGCGCCCAAATTCCCCCAAGCCTTTAGTGTTAGGATTATGAATGCGTTTGATTGAGAATGTCATATTTGAGCTGAGTGGCGATCAGTATAGCACTCAATTGCTTGAACGTTCTCAGTGTAACCCAATTCAGATCCTAAAACCTTGTCCGATTTCATAGATCGATTGAATAATATAGTAGGTTACAAAGGGTCGAATTGATCAGAAAACTTCTATGGATTTCTAGAAGTTTCCGTCGATTTTAAGGGTATGAGTTACTTGAGATTTATGATTGCTAAGCTTTCTTTATGTATATTAAGGGGCTTTGCCCTCGATTCTATTCTTTTTCCCTCTCTTTTCTTCTCTTTCTTTTGGTACGCAAGGCTTAGGTAATCTACGCTGCCTATTGCTATTCAAGTACTACTTTCTCTTCCTTTATAAGGAGGCCATCTCACTTCTCCGACCTTCCCACCGCTAGACCTAAACTACTGTAAGTTTCTCCAACCCCTCTCGCTGATTAACCTACCAGCCCCTATGACCATGTCCCGTACCCTGCGGAATACTCGCTACCCAACTCACTAGGATTACGTTGCGTCGTAATCCGCACCATACGCCATGTCCACCCTCAACCGACCTACATGGGTCTCATCTAACAAAATCGAGTAGTTTAACAATCAATACGAATAGAATACTGCTGCCCTGTTTGACCACCTCCCTACTATCTTTTAAAGCATCCGACACGAGAGGGATAGTGCTCGTACACTGCTCTCCGCCGTCCACAAAACCATTGGCTACCTGGAAGAGCAAGTAATACAGGTCAACCTTGACCTCAATGTTGACCACACCACCTCCGCCCCCAATGTTCCTATCCCCATTTTCGCTGCTACTGCACCAACCACTGTCTCCACCTTTGGGTCTGAAACTTTCCCCGAAAAGTTTGATGGCATCCGGACCAAAATCTCCGGATTCGTTACCCGACTCCGAATGAAGCACGAAGTCAACCATAATCGGTTCCGCAATGGGACAGCAAAGGTTATCCATGCGGTCAGCTGTTTGGAGGGAAGAGCTCTTGATCAGGTAATACAACTTGTTAACGCCAATCCTGCTGACTTCTTTTCCTCCGTCACCTTCTTTGTCGCCCACATGAAAGGCTCATTTAGAGACCTAAATACCCAAAGTACCATCCACCGCCAACTCGTCCCCCTGAGGCAAGGCAAAGGAGACTTTGCCACCTACTACTCGCAGTTTATCAGAAACATGTCTCACTTGCATTACAATAAAGGGGTCAAGATTGACGAATTGGCGGAAAGATTGTCTGACAACTTTAGAGACGTCATGACCTATCGAACAGACAGACCCAATATGGTGGAAGCATATGCGACCATGTTAGTGACGATCGATAAAAACATGTGACTGAGGTACTACGATGAGGCACAACCGTGATTTGCTTTCGAATAGTGTAAATAAAGAGAGCGAGTTTTGATGATACTCGTTCAGAAAGAAAAAAGGGAGTTTGTATGTTTGAACGTTCTCAAGTCTAGAAAATTATAACTTTAAGGGGTCTTCTCTCTATTAAAGATCCGTTGATGATGAGAGGCCAACCTGCGGCAACACCGAGTCCCTTATAGGAATACGGCGCATTTGCTCAAGTTCTTTTTCCGACTGACAGTCTGCCTATTGATAGTCAGTGGTACAGCAACTATTTTCTATCAGGGGAGAGGAGAGTAACTACGACACCTTGGATGAACTTCTGTCCGAGTCAAATCATGCAATTTGATGAAAGCTGTGGTCGGAATCTTAAGAACTATTGGAAACAGCCGACCAGATAATAATTGTTTATTCTAACTTTATTAGAACTGATTTGGGTGTTTGTAAACCGAAGTTTTGCTTTAGTGGGTTGAGTCGCACTCCCACTCCCCAAAGATACTCTGGAGAAAAACAGGAGAATTCCGGCAGTTTGACACTGCGGAGGTTAGTGTTGGGGATTAAAACGTGTTTTTGGAATTAGATTTTCCATTAACTCCGGGACACCACCAGAATCATGTCTGTAGTGCTAAAGCATGATCTTTGAGCGTCGGTTGCAGAGATATAAAACCTCAAAGATTCGACTGCATAGGTAGGGAACTCCCGTCCTGGGTTCCCTGTACTATCAGCAATCTTTGTACATCAGTTCCAAGCTTGCTCAGCCCCCTATTTTTGACTTGTAAGACTTCTTACTTATTGAGATCCCTGTCATCTATACGAATAAAGGTACAAGCCCAACTGCTCTTATCTTCACACGTCGATGAAGAACAAGCTGCTGTTACTTAAGGTCGGTGGCTCAACTGATGGAATAGCTTCTTTTGTAACAGCCTCATAGTGGCCCTGTTACATTGCTCCCCACTGTGGTAGACTCGTTTTGACTCCACTGTAGTGTTACTGGAATATTAGTATTTGGCACAGAAGAAAAACAGTAGCTCTATTGGTGATTACGTACAAACTACATGTGTGTTTCTATCTCCATCAGAGAAAGAAAACTCTAACATGAAATGCCTTTTAAAAACAAAGAAAATGACATATTCTCCACTCTTGTCGTAGAACCTTCCGTTCCATTAGTGGAGATTTCGATGTTAGCAAGAATCTCTCTTTTTCCCTTGTCTTTTTTACGCGGGTTTCCTCACGCTTCGGTTTTCTATCGTTTCTTGCATTGTTTTCAGGAAAAAATTGTATCCGAACTCTGTCAGACCGATGAAAACCTGGTACAGGAGAGTTGGTTTTTGTTCCTGGATTTCTTCTGGGATACAGAGCTACTTAAGCCGTGTTTTGAGGATCCCTAGAGTTTCACCGTATTTTCCGAGGTTTTTGCGGGTATTTTTGATGAAATTCTTTCATGGCCTCGTCGGCACTTCCTTGCAGAATTTTGTATGGTTTCCAGGAGTCTTCCGAACGATAACCCTCCCAAACAATGCGATACTTTACAAACATTTTCTAATGCCCAGCCTGTTGCCATCGGCTATTAACTATTTCTTGGAGAGCGTAACTGTATTCTCCTTCG